TCCTGGACTTAAACTGGAGAATCAGAGAATCAACATTAGAGAATGCTTTATGGAGAATCTTCATTGAAATAGATTTTTAGTACAGAACTGGGCTAAATCAGTCTTCAGGATATCGGCCCTACATGTTTTTTTCCTTGATCCTCCTTTCCATTGAAGTCACAACCTGGAATATGATTCAGGAGAGGAGAAGAATCCACGTCTGATCTTCTATAATGATAAGGATGAGGTTGTTCAGGTTAGATATGGATTCCCATTCAAGGTGTTACATGTCATCTACTGTACGGGTCAGACAAATATTATCTGCAAAATGCTTTGGAAAATAACATCTATATTCTTGAGCTTGACTCAAGCCTGACAAGATTAGAGAGGGATAAATAACTATTGCAAGAAGACATTACACAATGAAAAAAGAGGAGCATATCGGTGTGGTCTGAAACAGTTAAAGAGAATGTGATGTTGCAAATACATTACTCCTCTGTGTCTTTTGTATCCCGAGTGGCTCAGCGGTCTAAGGCACTGCATCTCAGTGCTAGAGGCGTCACTACAGACCAGGGTTCAATCCCAGGCTGTATCACAACTGGCTGTGATCGGGAGTCCTGTAGGGTGGCACACAGTTGGCCGGGTTAGGGGAGGGTTTGGCCGGGGGGTGGGGGCTTTGCAAGTAGGTCGTCATTGTAAGTAAGAATTTGTTCTTAACTGACTTGCCTAGTTAAATTAAGGTAAAATATAAAAAAAATGTGAACCTTTTAATCTTCATTATGGTTGCTTGCCTGTACTGAATGTAAGCATTTTGTGTGTGTTGTATCAGACTGTCTCTGTGAAGAAGATGAAGGTGGATGAGATCAGTAGCCTGCTGGACTCTCTGGGTTTCTACAAGAGATCTCAGAAGGGAGAGGAGGTGCCAGACGAGTTTCAACACTTTCCCCTGAGAGCTCCCAGGGATGAGTTGTGAGCAGAATGACATCTGGTGGCCAGACTCTGTCACTGCACCCAGTCACATATGATGAGTGGGGCCTCAAGGCCACAACATGAGCCAGGCCCTGGTTTGAGGACAAACGACTTGGTGCAGCTGAGCAGAGCAAAGCCTACCACACTGTCTCTTTGCAAAGTAAAAATAAATTTAAAATATGAATTTGTCAATAAAAGTTTAAACAAGTTACGTAGAATGTGTCTCATGCTGAATCTGTGGTTTAATATGCTGTCTAACTTCCAGCCAAACAAAACGTTGTACAGCAGAGTTTCAGCAGGTAATGATAGAGGTTAGTGTACGAAAAAGGTAATGTCGACTTCAAAGATTACATTCATTAATCCTGAACCTATTACAGGGTATTGTTTTCATTGGTTTTATTTATACTGAACAAAAATATAAACAAAGTGTTGGTCCCATGTTTCATGAGCTGAAATAAAAGATCCCAGAAATGTTCCATACGCACAGAAAGCATATTTCTCTCAAATTTGTTTACACCCCTGTTAGTGAGCATTTCTTCTTTGCTAAAATAATCCATCAACCTGACAGCTTTGGCATATCAAGAAGCTGATTAAACAGCATGATCATTACACAGGTGCACCTTGTGCTGGGGACAATAAAAGGCCTAATAAAACTAAAATGTGCAGTTTGGTCACAACACAATGCCACAGATGTCTCAAGTTTTGAGGGAGCATGCAATTGGCATGCTGACTGCAGAAATGTCCACCAGAGCTATTGCCAGAGAATTTAATGTTCAGTTCTTTAGCATAGCCACCTCCAACGTTGTTTTAGAGAATTTAGCAGTACGTCCAACCAGCCTCACAACCGCAGACCATGTGTAACCACGCCAGCCCAGGTCCTCCACATCTGGCTTCTTCACCTGTAACTCACTAAAATCGTTGAAATTGTTGCATGTTGCGTTTACATTTTTGTTCAATATATTTTCAGTTTTCTCACAATCAATGTTCAATTTGACATCTGAAAACCGCTGATCCCCATCATACTGTTATGTGGGAAGCTTGTCTCTCCCTTTTCTGTTTCCCTTCCTCCTTGTTTTGTCCCCTCTTTGTCTGTTGTATCTGTATGTGTGTTTGTCCCCATTATGTTGGTGCGTCTGCCGGTGTGTGTCTGGAGTGGATCGGGGGGCGTGCTCAGGATCTGCCTCTCCTGTGCAGCTGCGGGTTGTTTCTAGTGATTCCTGCTTACGCAGCTGCATCCTATTCTCTCATCAACCTGCACTACTAATTCCTGGGCATGGCTCTCCACCGGCGCCAGATCGTTGTTCTTACTAGAGCGTTCAGACATACCTCCCAACCTGCCTGCCTGCCTTCCTGCCTGCCTGCCTGCCTGCCTGCCTGCCTGCCTGCCTGCCTCAGCCTCTCCTTCCTCCGGAGCCGACTAGCCCACTCTGTTCCTTTTCTTCAGTTGTTTTTGGACTAAGACAAATTGAACTTTTATTAAAATAATTTTTGTTTCTTCCACTCCCTTAGTCGTGTTTTGTTTCTCTGAGTGCTGGGTTTAACCATAGCTTAACAGAACGATTGGCCATGGACCCAACAGAGAAACAGCACGGGGCAAACAAAGACAGCTTCCAACAAGCTATCCAGGCTCAAGGAACGTTGCTAGGACAGCATGACCCAATGATTCGGACTCTTTTGGAAAATAATCATCAACTGCTGAACCAGGTGACTCAGTTAACAACACAAGTCTCTAAATTGTCTGTTATCAGTTCTCCATCTCTCTCTGACCCCCAGTTTGATGCACCCCAAGTGGTTTCCTCGGACATTATGCAGGCTTCGTTCCATCGGGAACCCCCCTGTCACGTCGCCTTAACCGTTCAATGGAGAATTGGGACAAGTGCCGGGGATTTTTTGCTTCAGTGTGGACTTGATTTTTTCGGCAGAGACCACTGTCGTTTTCTACTGATTCTCTATAGGTACATTATGTTCTGGGGCTGTTAAGAGGGAGCAGCTCTGGTTTGGGAGGCTGTGTGCTCAAATCAAACTTTGACTGGATGACTTTTGCTGATTTTTCTGCTAAATTGAAGACTGTTTTGACCATCTGACCCGTGGGTAATTTCCCAAAAGACTTTTTAATTTTAGGCGGGGTTCTAAAAGGGGCGAGTACTTATTGGTTCTGGACTTTTGGGAGCGGACTCCAAGGGAACAATGTGCATTCAAAGGGGATTTTTAACGGTTTGAATGAAAACCATTAAGGAAAATGGTGTGTGACGGCAAGATTTTCATTCTCTCGTTTTCCCCCTCCAAATTTTAAA